ATCGACAATTCATGAGGGAAATAAATTGCTTAGCAAGGGAGGTTGGGGCACTGTTCAAGTGGACAAGGAGGTCAGCGAATGGACTAGCCGACACCCTTGCAAAGCAAGGAACTTTCAGGGAAAACTTGTTTTGGGATGTTCTGTAATCAGAAAATACTTTTCTTGGGGTAAACACCCTTGACTGGGTGGTGACAATGTATTCTCTTTAAATGTCTAATGAAAGTTACCATTTCTGATAAAAAAAAGGTTATTATTGAAACTGTTTTGATCAGACTTCAGAGTGGCACATTGGTTAAAATCCATGGACACCTTCTTTCATGTCTCAATGGATGATTTGCTTGGGAAGTGGAAGGTAGTGGCTGAATCGTCTTCTAGTAGGTTAATAACTAAACCAACCTGGTGTCCACTGGATATATGCTTCATGAAACTCAATTTTGATGGAAGTAGTATGGGCAATCTAGGACTTTCAGGCGTAGAAGGTGTGTTCAGAGATGAGAGAGGTAATGTAATTTCTCCTTACTTAGGACCAGTTGGTGAAGAAGACTCTCTTAGAGCAGAGGTGCTGGCTGTGATGGAAGGAATACAAAGAGCAAGACGGTTAAACATCAGAAAATTAGTTGTTGAAGGAGATCCAAAACTGGTGGTGAGTTGGTTGCAATGTGATGGATCTGAGGATGTGGGTCTTTAGCAGTCTAAAAGAGAAATTTAAATGGATAACAAAAGACATGGAAGTGAAGATTCAATGGGTAAAGTGTTATGCTAACTCTATGGGCACAGTTGCAAAACAAGAAGTTCGTTGGGGAGAGACAAGAGTTTTTGTCTCTCAATGACTTTGTGTGTATTTTTTTGATGAATAACTTTGTGTGTATTTTATACCTTTTGTATCTTTTCTTCTTTTAAATTTAATATAAATCCTGCAGTCATTGATAAAAAGGGAGAAATTGAGGATGTTGCTCATAGAATTAGAGCATGATGGGCAAAATGGAGGAGTGCATCTATAATCTTATATTATGTGATAGGAGAATACCGTTTAGGCTAAAAGGAAAATTTTATAAAACGGTTATAAAGCCAGCAATATTGTATGGACTATGGAAGCAGAGTGTTGGCCTGTTGGGCAGTCAGGAAACATGATGTCCATAAAATGAGTGTGGCAGAAATGCAAATGTTGATATGGATGTGTAGAAAAACTAGAAGGGATGGGATCAGAAACGTATTTATTTTAAGAAATCTAGAAGTAGCTCCAATAGGGGATAAAATGAAGGAAAGTAGACTAAGATGGTTTGGGCATGTGCAGAGAAGATATATATATTAATAGTGAGAAGAGAGGATCTGTTACAAATTGAAGGGGGGTTAGAAGAACTAGGGGCAGACCAAAAAGATATGAGCTGAAATAGTGAGATGATTTAAGGGCCCGTGATTTAACAATGGATATGGTATTGAACAGAAGGAAATGGTACTCGTATTCAATTGATATTACTTGCTCGTGGTTTTACATTCTCTAGTGGTTTTTCCTTTTTGAAAGTTGCATAGTGTTTTAATTGTTACACTTAGATGAAATTCAACAGTGTTGTTTACAAATTTGCATATTATGTAAGTTTGCATGGATGTATGCTACTTTATTTGCACCATATCTTATAGTTGGGTACCAGGACCTGCAAATGCTATGGTAGATGGCCTTGCCAAACAAGGGGTCAATAGACAGCAATTATATTGGGGGATGGTTGGGGACCCAAATGTAAGCTAACTACTGTTGAACTAAAAAAAGGGAGGGAATGGGACTTTAAGGGTCTACTGTCTTTGGGGTTGTTAACTATCTCCGTGATTAAGCAATTCTTTATTCTTTCTTATAATCAATAAAAATTTTGTTACTTATCCCAATAAAATATACCTTATTTTCTCAAATACATTATTTAATCATTTGAGCTTGTACATTACATTGTAATTTGTGTTTCAGGTTATTAAATGATAATGAATTTGAAGGACAAGTACCATATGAACTTTACTCAATTGGTGTACATGGTGGAGCCATCGAGTATGTAATGTTATACTCTATTATCCATTTTCTGAACTTTTTATTTATTTGGTTTCCATGATAACGCTGTTTTATATGTTATTTTGTACAATTATTGTTTACTTTTCTTTACCAAGTTTTTTTATATGATAGAAGCCAATAAATGCATAAACTGTTCTCCCTCAATGTCAACATAAGATTATAGTGATTCACTTTGTTTCTGGACCTGGTGGTCTATATCCATGCTGAACTAGCTATTCTAAAAGATTGTGAGACTAAGCTGTATTTGAATCTTGATATACTTAGCTTCAAACACTCAACACAATACATTGAGGCACAGTAAGATCTATATACAGAACACCCAATAAAATTATAAAAACTGATACAAAATGAGGACCAGATATGACTACCCAAGAATGTATATTCTGAGATCTGCCTAAAATCCTCAACTGACAACCATGACCCAAATCTGCCTGCCATACATTTTAATATCTTTTATCCTCTTGTGAACTCTTATTTTCAAAAATATTCTTGTTTCTTTCAGTCCATACAGACCACATTATTGCAGCCGGTACAATTGTCCATGCAAAAATTCCTTCTGTTTAGTCCTTTCCCCCACCAGGCTTCCAGGAACTCATTGATTGATTTGGTTGCAGCCCGTCTCAGGTTCAAAGCCTTGTAGGAATGAGGTCATATTTTCTATGCAACCTGGCAGTGTATGAAGGAGTGGTCGATCATGTGTTCTTCCTGATTGTGCAAGACACAGGACAAATCCTAAATATTTATTCTCCTCCTAATTAGACTGCCCTTGGTTTAACAGTTACCTAAAGCTTCTGTCTACCAGAAAGCAAACTTTTGATGGAGCTAGGGTCTCCACACAATTTTGGACGGGAATGTGATACTGATTTTCTCCATGAGGTGCTTGCAAAGGATCTATCAGAAAAAACAGCCGCCAGACTCCCACTTCCACACCCTACCATCTTCCCTTTCTATGTTTAGCTGAGTATCTTGGAGCAAGCATAAGAAGCTGGTAGCATTCTCTACCTCCCAATCCTGAAAATTCCTGCAGAAATGTGGTGTCCAAATAACAGTGGCTCTCCTGATTTCAAATGCTGAGCAACTTTTTGCCTCTTTATCTTCTGCAATCAAGTAGAGGTTAGGTCCAGGAATGAATTAGAAATGATCTGTATGCATGCATGCATGTATTAACACGTGGTTAGACTGGGTTATACCTTGCAATATTTTTATCTGCACCATATAATCATGAAACTAGATTATTTATTGTATTGATGTTCAGAAATGTCTTCTTTCCATTGCTACATCTCTTATCTGGTGAATTTTTGTGTTCCCTTTCAGTCTCTCCCGTAACAAAGGCTTGTGTGGCGTACCTTCTCTACCACCATGTCCTCTATTTTGGGGAAAGGGAGGTTTATCAACTGGTGGTAAAATTGCAATAGGTCTATCATGTTTGGTTATTGTCATATTATTCCTGGTGATATATATATTCTGCATCAGGAGGGGGAGAAATGATTACGACTTCTCTCTTCCTCAAGATCTTATTTGTAAGTGTTGCTTAAAATAATATAAGTCTGTCAGCTTTGCCTTTGTTTTTCGTGTGATATTGTTTATTTATTTTGTTTGTTTGGAGCACTAAACTACTTTGTTTTCACATGTCTTCTATGTACTGGAAGCTTTTTTTTTCACATATTTGATATGAAAGTAGAATTTTATAATATATTAATGATGTAAGATGGGTAGGTCCTAATGGATTCAGTGGTCTCAGGTCTCAGAGTAATGACACAAAGGGATGAGTTGCTGCTTTAGGAGAGTTTTGAAGATCTCTAAGCTGTGTAACTTGACCTATAAGGTTTCTAAGCCAGATCCAGAAATCTGTTGGTTTCACCATGGATTAATAGAATTTGTGAAAATCAAGAAATAGGTCTAGGAATGGAATTTTTTTCCATTTAACTCTGTGTGGAGACATGTTGTTTAGGGGTTAGAGTGGGATTTGGCAAATTAGAAGGGTTGGTTAAGATCCTATGGATATGGAGCAAACGGGAAAATTAAGTTAACTATGGATTCAAGTTTGAAATTTACCTACCAAAAAAAGTTGAAAATGACAAAGTGATCTGAAAGAGTAATGCAGGTAGGTTACGGAACTCCTTTTATTGGGTTTTGGTGGTGATTATCTGCAATTTATAGATTTAGTAGAGGCCATTATGTTTCCATATATTAACTCTTTATTATATCCCCAATGGGAATAAATAAATTATTTAAAAATTATTCATCGCTGAGATGGTCATAGAACTAATAAAATATTGATATGAACAATTTGAATGTCATTTAGGACCTATAAGAAATATAGAACCCAACAACACAAAGTCCTTGTCCTCAAAGAGGCTTGGCTATGCCAGTGATGTATTTTTGGAGCCTTTTTATGTAAAAAGAGGCTTCTAGTAGGATATCCAGTCCACTGGTCTTTTGAAAAGTACAGAATATAACTGAAAGGTACAGACTCATTGGCCAAACAAGTTGTTAGTGGACAAACACTGCATGTTTGGAACCTTTGCCGCCTAAATTTGGTTGTTTTTAATTAATGTTTTCCCAATAAAGAAAAAAGGAAGTTGAATAGTTGTTATTCTCTGTCATTTGTGACATATCTTCTTTACCTTTTGATTTCTAGGTATAAATGTTAGTGTAACATTAAGCTTGAAATGACAACTTGCAATGCTTTCCTGTCCATTTTCATCGTGCAAAAAGTTATAAGGCTTTATAGCATGCTTAACTTTGCATGGATTGTTTTGTATAATTCATCTGTGGATACCATAGTGATATAGCTTTGCCAATCTTGTTCATTGGGAAACTTATGTCTGGTGTGGTTATCAGCTGAGCTTTATTTGGTTCTTTCTACAGCACTTGCAGCAAAGAGAAATAGATACCAAAGGCAGAAGTCTTTGATGCTTGTGGAAATGGGGGCGCATAGTGCCAATGGATTTCCATCTACCGTGAATTCCCGTTAACAGACTTCCTGATAGGAGAGGATATTGAAATTGAAGCACATAGTCACCTGCCCACCACGAGTTCCTAAGGACACCTTGAGTGCCATGATATGCATGCTAAGGTCAGGCATCACATAGTTCCCATTACTGAGGAAGTTTGGTTGCTGAAAGGCGAGATTTTATATGCTTTCACAGGAGTCATGCTTCTCTTCAAAATTTCTGCACCTCCACAGCAGGGGACTAGAAAGCGAAGTTGTAAATCAATGCATCTCAGGTTATTGGGGAAATTCCCAAGCTGTGCATTGGATGCTCCCATATATCATACCCAAATTTTGGCAATCCATAAACATATTGTGTTGATTTGAATCTCAAGAAATACAAAAACACTGAATGGTATTCGCTTGTCTTGTAACTATCCATTTTCCAACCTCTGCAAATACTGTGGTTAGATCATCAACGCGGACCACCCATTTCCAAAATCTACTGTCCCAAATGCCTCTGCCAAGTGGCTAGTCTTGTAGTTCCATCTTCCATGCTTTAAATAGCTTCCTTCCTAATGAGTTGCTCCCGTGGGTGAACTGAAACTCCAGGTATTGATTAGTAATCACAATGCTGGTCGTTATGCAGGGGTGTCGGCCCATCAAATATATGCATCAGTTCTGGGGTTTGTCTGGCCGGGTATGACAGCAGATTCCACCTCCCACCCATCAAATAACTTGCATTGATTATGTATAAATCATTAAAGCTCAGTTTGGAAGGAGTATAAATACAAATATGTAGAGTGCAGTCTTATATTTTGTATTTCTAAACCTGTATTTGCGTTGTACATATTTGTATCTGTATTCTTCCCAAACTGAGCCTAAGATTGAGGAAAAGTAGAATTACCTGAACTTTTAACCCTTCTATAAATTTGAAAATTATAGGCTTGTAAGTTCATTAATTAGGGCTCCCAATTATATCTGCTTACTTCACCAAAAGAAAAAAAACAAAGATCTGCTTACAGAATTTTATCCCATGGATCCGATAATGATCAAGTCCGATATTTTTGGAACCAGGCTCTATTAAACGGGCTGGTTTTGTAAGGTATCCAGGTAATTGAGTACCTATTGACACTCCACATGCTTCCACACTCTATTGTTTGAGCAGCAGGAAATAATGTAGGAACGCCCAGCAAGAGTTGCCATACAAGTACGGCTCATTGCAGCAAATTCTGGACATCACAAACAAATTTCAGACTGTTTGCCATTTCTATTGCCATTCATCTGATCATAAGGTCATTCATGTCTTGGTGAAAAGTGGGTATGGGCCGTATGGGCTGCTTCCACAATCAGTACTCAACTCTCTTACTGATCATTTGATCAAGCTGAAACCCGAATTTGAACGGGTTAAACCAAACCCTTGGACCAGGCAATCCAGCTGCAGATCCCGTGTTAAATCTAGGTTCTGGTCAAGTGGTTATCTCAATGGTTTTAAAATGTCAACAAAATTTGGCTTCAAAAACACCCACCGACACGAAAAATAAAATATGTTGGGTGAAAATACTTTGGTGCTAGAATTTTAGAACAGAAGTTACCTCAAATTCCAAAATTTCAAAAAGTTTTATCATGGACCAACAGTCTGGGACGACCAAAATTTAAGACCTTGGTTAGCTTAGGGATCCCATTCTTAGCAGGATAGCTAAAAATCTAGCAAAATGCATCAACCCATAGATTGTGTTTGTTTATCCTTAAATTGGAAGTCAAAATTTTCAGCTGATTTGTTTTCAAGTAAATGACTTGGAAACCAACGTATTCACTGTAAAAGAGACAAAAAATGTAACTCCAATAATTCAATAAAAAAAAGTTTTTTATCCATTTCTGATTGAAGGTTTGAAACAAAAGAAGCTTTAAGGGGAAAAGGATCAGATATATAGTTATTGTGAACCAATTTATTGAGTTAATGTGAACTGAAAGAAAGAGCTAGACAAGGAATGAGTTTTACAGACAGCGAAGTTGAGTTCATATTAGTGAAAGATACTCAACAACACCACCAAATGGATAGAATGGTGTGGCAAACAGGCAAACAACCCAGCTACTGCAACAGTGACACGGAACCATGAAGAACTTAGCAGAGGTTGACTTAGCTCAGCTGGGTTACCAGCTGAAATTGAATCCATTAGAATGAAATGTCAATGGTTATTACTGTGGGCGCTTAGCCTAGCAAGACAGAAGAACCCAAATAACCATTTCATGGCCTACGTGGGTTGACATTTCCCTCCGCTCATTGGTCATTTTTGTCTGCTGAATGGTCCAATCAAAGCAACCAGCTGATTGCCATGAATTCCACATTTTAAGATCATCTGATTACATTGAATGTTTGAAAGGGATCTCCTGGCTTCCCATCAGGCTATTGGTCTCTTACTTAATGTCTATGCGTGTGTCAGAGAGGGACGGGGAGAGAGAGAGAGAAGTCAACTTGGACAAGAGAGGGGTACTGCTCTCTACTATAGAAAATTGAATGAAGACTTAACCCCAATAAAACGTACAGCTCTATAGCCATTAACATGTGAAGGAGAAGCTGCAATAACGTGCTCAAGTATTGACCACAAAGGGCTTGAGTAAAAAAACCCAGAAAGGGTGGAAGGTGTACTCAAAACCAATTTATTCCAAGTTGAGTATTTCTTTAATGGGGATTGTGACTTTGAGTAGTAGTCCATGCATCTGTTTTGTGTGAATCTTCTCAAAAACCAAGTCTGCTTCACTGGCTTTCCTTTTGACTCAAGTTAACCCAGCTTTATAATTTTAAAATTCCTTTCTGATTATATAGTGCCCAATTAAGGCAATAGAGAATATTTTGTAGTTGTGATTAAAATATTTCAAATTCTATTCTTTCTTACTATTTTTAGCATAATAATCCCACATTTGCACTTTTAGAAAAGGCGGATTTCACAATGAATTATGAAAGTCTTGCCTCCATTCCAGACCAGATGATGGTACCCTCACATATTTACAACCCAATTGGTTGAAACGTCCATAGGACATATGAACCTCACTTTGCATTTAGAGAGAGAAAGAGAGAGATTTGTCTAGGTAATTATTTCAATAAACCTGACCTTTGCAAGTTATTTTTGCTTTGATGTAGTACACGTCTCCCAACTCTCCAAAGTGTAGTAGTACTACTTCCTAACTATCCAGATTAATTAAAACAATCAAAATAACATCCTGGGTTACAAGATTTGTATAATTAATATTTTCTCAAGATTAACCCACCAAACCTTCTATCCATTGGATAGTCTGCTCAGGGATAAGCCATCCCATAAGCAGTGGCTGTGCTGTTGCACCGCCCCAAGGACAATAAAGTAGAGAGATAATTCTGGCCTAAATGATGTTTTCTGATCAGCACTTAAATTATCATAAGTTATCCCAAACAGTAGTTGGGTTTTCAGGCTAGGGTTCTCATCATTAATTCTGTTTGATCTAAATGGATTTTTCTATCTATGTTGGTGACCTGGCTCCTTCTCGCTTAGTTGACAGTTGGGTCAGGCTCAGTAAGCAATTTTCTTGCCTTCCCTCAGTCTGACCCGACCCACATGTATCCACAACTGGAGCAATTGATTTTTTAGGTCCCACAAATTTGCAAATGGGTACCTCATAACCTGACAAACCCAACATCAAATAATTACATTCATTAACCTTTTGTTTAATTTCCCATTTTTTTTTTATAATTTCTGCCATTTTTTTACTAATAAATGGGAAAATTTTCCCAGGTGGCTACCTAAATTTCTTTGCTGAATGACCCATTTAGTGGCAGCACCATGTAGACATGACTCAGTCAGTTCAGTCCCTTCCATGGAACAGGAGAGACTCCTCATTGGCCACGGATTTAATTCCAATGTATTGTCAGGTAGTCAGTAAGCTATATGACTCAGCATCTGTTGGATTTCCCCCCCCTCAATGTCAGCCACTGATGATGTTTCGAGTTTTCATTGCAGAACAATGCCATTGCCATTCCTCCTTGCACATTCATTGCACATAGACCAAAATTAATTGTGATTAATATATATTTTAGTGCATTCATCGCATGTAGACTTGGGGGCCGTTTGGGTACTGCTGAATTGGCTAAACTGAATCTTATTGGTTTGTCTTTTAGTGGATACAATAATGAAATGAGGTACCACAACATGTCAACATGTCATTCAACAATTAAGGACCTTGGTTTCTATTTTATTATTCATTCACTAAGAGACAAGCCAACGACAAGTAATTCAGTTAGCCAAATTTGCAATTATGAAAATCAACCAACCTCCTTCAGTAAATTTGGACCAATTCAAACAGTCCATCAAATAGGGGATTTTCTGATGGATACAGACTCAATTTACTTGTTTAGTTATGTCTGCCATGTGTTCGACCTTTTCCACAAGTACTTTGCTATTTGGTGGGACTACTCCAGTGGGAATTACTTTACAAGTAGAGGGTGACTTGACCAGCAAGTAAGGTCCTTTTCAGCTATCACCTAGGTATCCCTTTGGGGAGTCATTATCTCTTTGTTAGCTGAGTAACTAAATTGTCCTTGTAAACTTCAAGCTTTTAGTATTTTTGCTGTAAAGTTTTTCATCTGCATCATGCTGAGTGCTTTAACTGTAAAGTTTTTCAGCTCTATTTCTCCTTCTTCTTTTTCTTCTCTTTTTTATCAACTTTTTGAACATAAGAAAATATTGTTGGACATTAACACATTTCAAAATTTTCATTAAAGAAATAAAAAAATACTGCTACCACTTCTCTCATTGCTTATTCATTGCTTATTCATTGCACATTGACCAAAATTAAAAGCCTGATTCAAATATTTTAACTTCAAATGTTAAGAAGGGAGTAGTAATAGCAAAAAGTGGAGCCCCAATAGATTAAAATAAATTAGAAAAAAAAAACTTTATTTAGCTAGCTAGGGGGAGGGGGGGGGGGTGCTAGGGTGGTTTAAGTCAATCTCAACCACTTCAGACTCTGGACTCCATTAAAGATGATTCCCTGATTAATGGAGGCAAAGTTCAAAGCATCCGTATAGATTGATACGGCTGAATTATGGCATGAAACTTGGGCCATTCTGTCCATGCTGCATATGTATGTATATATTGATATTTTAAACCTTGAATGGAAGCCATAAAATCAATTTTCCTTGATCAGCTAATTTTCTTGCCACATGTTGCCAAGTTGAACAACAAGTTATGACCTTTTAAGCTGCCAACTGAACTACCACCTGGATATTTCTTTTTGAGTCCATTATCTCTTTGTTAGCTGAGTAGTTAATTGTCTGAGTAAAATTCAGGTTTTGGGGTTCTTTTCTGTTGAAATAATCTTTTCAATTGCAACTTGCTGACTGCATTAACACGCTATGTCTTTTGCACAAGCCACTAATTCCACTACTGCTTATTTCTAATAAGAC